CAAAGACGAGGAAGTCAAACTATTCTCCAAAGCCCCTGAGGGTACAACAAGAAACAATGGGTGGAAACTAATCAAGAAGAGAAGCAACTTCTGAGAAGCAAGTTCTGAGGAGAAATTTCCTGACAGTTAGAACAATTAATCAGTGGAACAGCTTGCCTCCAGAAGTTGTGAATGCCCCAACACTGGAAGTCTTTAAGAAGATGTTGGATAGTCCTTTGTATGAAACGGTATAGGGTTTCCTGCCTAGGCAGGGGGTTGGACTAGAAGACCTCCAGGGTCCCTTCCAACTCTGGTATTGTATTGTGTTGTGTTGTATTGCATTATTGTATTGTATTGTATTTATTGTGTTGTGTTGTGTTGTATTGTGTTGTATTTATTGTATTGTATTTATTGTATTGTATTGTATTAAATGCCTGCTTCATATACAAGGATTAAATATATGCAATTGCTGTTACATAGGCAAATTTAGAAAGTCCTCATTACTCAGGTATGTAATTTTGCTTCCATTGTTCTTGTGCAAAAGGTTTCTCATTTCAATTAAATATCCAATTCTGAATTCTAAAGAATGAAAGCAAGAAAGTTTTTTTGGAAGTATTTTATTTATTTATTTATTTTAAATCCCTTATGAAACAGACTTTCTGAACAATTATAGGGAGGCCTGGAGAATTTGATGGCAATTATAAATGTGGCCAAAAGTATTGTTGCCTCTCCCTTTTTCCAATTTGCTGTGAAACAAGTTGAAGCTGATACAAGCAAATGGTATACACCACTCTTCATTCCATATACCATAGAGCAGACATTGTGCTTTTGATGTTTGAACTGCATTCTAACCACTGTGCCACCACAGCTCTTGTAAATAATAAAACTAAAATTAAAAGTAATTTTCTTAAGATTTTAGTAAAAAAAAAAACATAATTCCAAAACTACAGATGAAATCCACTGTTGTATACAAGGGTACTTTCTGAAACGTTTCTCTGTGCCACCTTGCAGTATTTCTAAATCTGTAGGAAATGCTAATCACATGCAGGATAACTCTAAATAATTCTAAACTAATATAGAGGACGATTCTAAATAAAGTGAGAGAAACAAACTAATTGTAAAATAAAATGACCATACTCAATGTCCTTAGGTAAAGTGGCACCTTGTTTTAATCCTACCTGCATAGCCAAGCAAAGGGTGTTGAGCATGATGAGGACAAACATGATATATTCAAAGACTGTAGAATTCACCATATACCAGAATTTGTACTGGTAAGGATTTTTGGGAATGTATCGACGCAGCGGCCGGGCTTTCAAAGCATATTCTACACACTGACGCTGAAAATAGTAGAAATATCAACATCATAAACAGGAATTACAATCTTGTCTAGAACCTTATCTGTCTGTGATTCAAGTTTTTATTTCAGAAACAAATCCATTCGTGAATAGTTCCATTATATCAATAGTTACATTCCATAGGCAGAGCTAGAAGGAAAGAGCTATTCAAAACATATAGGGGAACTAGATTGTATTCCCAATGTAATTGATAAATTCAATGCTTAAAACTGGCTCAAAATTTGCTTAGTAATGGCAAGGAAGGAAACATTAGAATTCTGAAAATCATTAAATATTTGATTATAATGTTTAAATAGGTGCTGTTTCATTACCTGATTTTTGTCAAGTTCACAGTTTTTGTATTCTTGTTCTCCCTGTTCTTGGAATGTGACAATGACAAAGCCAACGAATATGTTCATCATGAAGAAAGCAATAATAATTATGTAGATGATGAAAAAAATAGAGATTTCCACTCTGTAATTGTAGACCGGTCCTACGTTCTCTCCATTTGAATCTATAGCTTTATAAAGAAGCCTGCATATTAAAGACAAATGAACAATGGATTCTAACATCACAAAAACAGCAATTTCTAATTCTGATTTCAATATTCAAAAGTATATTTTGGAAGGAAGATCCTTTTCCAGTCATGGAACAAGAGGACAAGATGCCTGCCACTAAAGTATGATTCAAAGCATATTCAGTATTATTTGCAAGGTGAGCTGTTATCTTGGTGGTAGCATCAACAATGGAAATGTGATGGACTAGAAGATATTTTCATCATATTTATTTACAGTCTGTTTAAAATATAGAAGATGTTCATATTCCCTGCTCCATTAATAGTATAGCTCTGTAACATATTGTACCTATAAAGTGGTACATCAAGGCAATAGTATTTCTAAGAATCCCAGTTATAGCCTTCCTGGAAAGAAATCGATCACCTCTGAAAAGGTTAGTCAAAACAATACAAAACAAACTCTTTTGTAAATGATACACTTACGCAGGCCAGCCCTCAAAAGTAGAAACAGTAAAAAGAGCCATCATAGCAGTAAGGACATTATCAAAGTTGAAATCGCTGTTCTGCCATTGTCTCTCTCTCACCATTGGACTGTCCATATCTCCATCTTTATAAACAATAAATATTCCCCTATTGAAATGAGTTGGGGGGAAAAGCAGATAGTTACTAGGGTAACTGAACAATTATTTTATAATTTCTTTCTATGTTTCTTAAAGTGCACATATAACAATCCTTTGCATGTTTCAGTAACCCTAATTAATAATGGTGAATCTTATAGCTCACTGAAATATGTCCACCTTTGGTGGCATTTCTGTTGTGTTTATATGACTAGCACTGATGAAATTACCTAGTTTGGGTAATGAAAGGTCTGCAAGAGAACAAGAAATCTCAGACAGCAGCAGTATATTGAAGAATACTGGACCCAAGACAGAACCATGGGATACCGCACTGCATGCTTCCCTCCACATAGATGTAGTTCCATTGAAGACATTCAGTCACCTTTGGGGTCTACTAGATACTTGAAGATTTATATTCCATCAAAAGTCTGAACCTTAGGAAATATATTGCTTCACAGCAACATTTGGAGACCCAAAAGCTTTTTTTTTTTTTTTTTTGCTATCTAAAAAATGCAGATAGGAAAATATTCTTACCGGCAGTCCACAGGATTTTGCTTTGCTTCATCTGTGCATCGATAGAATTTTCCCTGTGCATAAAAAAAGCATAGCGATAGAATCTAGAGCACCATTTCGATTTCAAAAATGTTCAAGTATCTCCACAGAAGTTCAACAAGCCTCACGAGGAATAATTTACAAGACCAATTTTAATGTATCATTTGGCTTTACTATGGTCCAGATTTCCTATCCTTGTTCTTACCTTAAAAAGCTGGACACCAATACATGCAAACATGAACTGGAGTAGAGTTGTAACGATCATGATATTACCGATAGTTCGAATGGCAACAAAGACACATTGAACAACATGCTGTAGAGAAAGAGAGGGGGGGGAGGAAGGAAGGAAGGAAGGAAGGAAGGAAGGAAGGAA